TGGCTTCGTTTCGATCAGTGTGGTATATCGGCTGGATTGATCTCGATCTATTTGTCTGGCATTTATACGGCATTCCAATGTTTCGAGGTATTTGCTTACCGTTCCAATGCACATCCTATCCTTCCCACTGAAAATGTGATTTCAAATGTGCTCATTGCAAGAAAAGTATTCGAATTAGGTTTACTCAAAATTTTCGAAGTTCTCTCAGAATTCCCCATAATATAGTCGTCGTTCCATCAAAAGTTTCGACTGGTGAAATCTTGTGTGATTAAGAGATATCGTGACGATTTGGAGAGTTGGATAGGTTTTGTTTTGTTAAGAATTGGCGAACGAACTATATCACAGTTGCGCTGGGTCTTTTCGCATTCGTTCTGTACATACCATCAAGAAGTGGCATAATGGATTCGAAACTGTTCGGTACTCGAGTTGGATACCTTCACTTGACCTATATGTGCGTTGCGCTTTTTGGAATGCTGCCGACTGTGCACTGGTTCTCACTGCACGGTGGATTCGAGAATCCTCATGTTGTGGTAGGTTACATTGTCAGAATGACTTGCTCTTATGAAAAATGCACTTGATTTGCAAACATGGAGTAATCCAACACGAAGTTTTTATTTAACAATGCAATTTAATAATGATATCCTAATGTTTTCTGATATAGTGTGAAATAAATTTTTGCTTTATTTCCGAATCCCTCAAAACATATGTATTAGCTACAATGATGAGGTAAATTAGTATAAGGAGAAATATTCGACTGCGATATTCGATAAAGTTTCAAGAGGTTTTCACATTATCGAGTAGACGAAATCGATTGACGATTGATAATTTGCTAATGAGCTCTCATCATATGTTTCATTCTATCGATGAATAAATGAAAGTGCAAATTTCAGTCATGGTTACCGAATATTTTCATACTGTATACACTGATTGGATTCGCGTTTATTTTCTATGTGACAATGATTCCGGAACGGCTAGTGCCAGGTTCGCTTATCAGCAGTTTACATTTAACGAATAATTTGTAATCGTTCCGTTTGATTCGACGAAATCAAATTCGTTTGGTCATTGTAATGAACATTACGAAAAACTCAACCAAAACGAATGGTTTTCACTGTCAGTTTATTGACAGAAACAGTTCATTGTCCTTCAATTGATCCAATTAACACATACTCCGTCCGATTCGTAGAAACCAGTTCGTAGACGTTCATTGGGGAGAACAGTGATGTATGGCTTCGTGAATCACTTATGATGCAAGATTATGACGATTAATATAAATGATTTGTTCTGATTTATGAGGGGCACACATGAAAGTAAAACTCCACATCACCTGGAATGTACCCGTTGAAAAATGATCCTACTCTGAATGAAATAAACAACTCTTCCTTCCTTCCAAAAAACTGACCCTTCACATTTTCTCAAGTCACTTTCGCCCATAAAAACTCTTTTCATTTTCAAACAATCCAAAGAAAATTTTTTTGAAGTCTTCAAACTATTGCAAAGAACATATTGTTATGTTATGAATAATATGAATATGTGAAAAATTACAGGAAAATTCGACGTTCTCGGTTGCAGTCATCAGTGGTGGCATCTGTTCATACTGATCGCGATGATATTCTGGCAATCGCGAGGCATTCAGTTTCTGAGTGTTGTGCGATCGATGCCCAAATTTTGCTCCGATGTTGCGACGGTTCGGAATTTGACATCGTCGACGACATTTAATTTAACGACACCGCAACATGAGTTCAGTGTTTATTGATTCAGTTGTTTGTCAGCGATCACTTTTTTGTATAAAAATGATCGTGACAGAGTTTGGTAGCACACGGAATTCTTATTTGTTTTTGTTACTCGGAATGAATTTGTCTTTTTTCATTCTGTTAGTTGATGATAGTTACCATAGTAAGACAGAATTGTGAATTCGATGTGAACATTTTCGAAATTATAGTGATGCCTTCAAAATGAGATTGACTGTTTTATGGATATTCGATCAATTCAGTTCAGTTTGCCGCATTCATTAACAAGCAGATCATATTNCCAGCAGTATGTGGCTTGCTGATATTTTAATCAATTGAGAGCTGAAATGGGGATAAAAACAATCGGAATTTCAAAAATAGCGTGAATTGTTGTTTATTCGAAATGATCGATAGTATTCTTTCAATTTGGCGATGAAACTCTCTTCGCTTAGAGAGAGTATCGTGCAATCGTCGGCTGTAAGCTGCAGCTTTCAGACTCGCTTAAACTGTCTCAGGCAGTTCGAGCCTTACTTTCGTGCCATATTCTGAGTGTATGAGCAAATTTGCAGTGACTTTTGATTGTCATCGCTTATGTCTAGCATTTAGTTATTTTCATGAATTACGCTGGAACAACACTTTGATCAAATGTTTCGAATGTGTATATGAAAATTTGTATAGTAGCGTATGTAAATATTTTTGACGAATAATCGACACTTGTACTCAAAGCACTGTAACGATGTTATATTGCTTGAATATTGTGAAATATATAATTTATTTTTGAAACATGTGAAAATGCATGCTTGATGCGAGCATGCCGGCAACAAGCAAATACAAGTGTTCGTTAGTGAGCAGAACCTTAATTTGTTGAAAATGATGCTGAAAGAATATCGATATCAATCATATCAGTAGTTTTATCATTATTGTTATTTTAGCAATATTCTTATTATTAATACAATTGAGATGTTGTCATCAAAGACGATTCAAATGAGAAACACAGGATCGCGCTTCAGGAATTCGTGATAAAATGTCCAACAATCGTTTAGATTTAGTCGCTAGTTCGCCATCACCTGAACACATCTCACGCAGTCTCTTCTCCAGTTCACGTCTGCCCTGAACAGAGATAAATACATGAGTTCCTGATACATGAGTAATTATCAACAGCCAATTACAATGTTTATTATTATCCGTATCATTGTCGTTGTCAGCGTTATTGGTCATTATAAATGCTACCCGGTCAATCTGCCTACAGGCATTTAGCTTAACGACAGTTTGCGTAAAAACACATTGCCTAATGGACAATTTGCCGAACGGATATTTTGCCTAATGGACAGTTTGCCTAAGGAACAGCTTGCCTATTAGGCGAAACATCCATTAAAAACCGTAAGTTAGGCAAACTGTCCGTTCGGCAAATTGTCCATTAGGCAAACTGTCCATTAGGCAATGCGTTGTTAGGCGAACTGTCATTAGGCTAAATGTCTTTACGCAAATTGACCGGTCACGATCCTAAGTACATACAACGCAAGAATTCAGTTGGTGAATCGATTTCATGTGCGATTCTCTTTTATGATCGTGTGAAGAAGATCGTCTCTGAACAGAAGGGAAAGGTTTATAAGAACAGCAAATGAAACGAATCAACAACGACTGATTGAAAACGAGACCTTAGCACCGTAAATAGCAAAATAGATGGTATAATGTGGATTTGCGAAAGGATCAGCGTTGAACGGTGCAATAACATCGTATGATATTGAGAGCACTTCAACTGCCGACGACATGCACAGTATCCAGATGACCGAACGTAGCACCACTTCTGGTTTGTCTGAGTCAAGCACAGACAGAAGTCCAGTCACTGCCTTAATTGAGTGGATAGATTTTCTTGCAGCTGAATTGTTTGTTGTGAGAACGACTGAGGAGTCAGGTTTTAATCTTTCAAATCTAAAGTTACACCTATGAAATGTGCACTTCTTACTCTGAAAGTACACTGCAAATTATGATCAATATCATTAGCTTATCTTATTTCTCTCTTAATAATTTTAAAATGTCAATGCTCAGAGGTTTTTCAGTGGAAGATTTGCCGAAGTCCATTCTACCTCCTTATTCCTTCNACTTTTCGACAATAATGAGACAAGGTTCTGTTATCGCATATTATCTCCAAAAACGGCAGCACGTACTTTCAAGAGAATAGCAAAATGTGTTGCCGCATTACCTCATACATCCTTTCAGCAGCTTCCAACGACTGGCTGAGAGCTTCGCACTCAAAAATGTTGCAGAGAAATGCCAGTAAAGCAGAGGAAAATAAAAGATTATCTTTCATAAGAGCTGCTGCATTCAGTCTGAGTGTTTGCTTGTGGAAAGCAATTGCATGTAACAATTGAATTCCATCAATGCGAACTTTTCAGTCATCCAGAAGCACCAAAGACCCAAAGAGGTGGGATATGAGGAAGTCGCTTGTATAACATAGTTATTTATCTTGAGAAAAGGATGGAAACAATGGCAATGAAACATTCGAAGGTTATTCTCAACAACATACCTTAGCAGCGAGTATGTGTGGAACCATATCGGGACAACATGATAAATTTACAAGTAATCTCAATGCATTTAAATTGGCTTCGCCTTTTACCCATAACCTAAAACTGAATGTTTATTTCACTGAGAAAAGCGTTATGTCGTTATCGTTGCTAAACTAAATCAACCATTCTCCCAAATCGCAATGAATATTTAAAGAAATTTTCCCATTAAAAGGAATACGCAATGGATTGTCAATTCATCACTTAATGATAGTCTATTTATTGAGTGTTTCCAATCGAATTGTTATTATCAATCAAAATTCCAAAAAAAAAAGACATATCCAATTAATTTATATAAGGTCGTTGATGTAACGAAATTGTGTAATGAATTTTTGAAATGCTTTTTTGTTAACGGTGTGTTCATTTTAAATCAGGTCAGGTGATCGACCACTCACAGCAATATGACTAGTGTATGCATTCTTCAACAACTGAGCATTTTAAAACTGACAATTACACACGGAAGCGCTAGCAGAACTGACGTTTAGGTTTCGAAAAAAATAGAATTAGGTTAAGCAAATGAATTGAACCAAAAAAGTGAACCTTTTGAAGCAAGCTGGAATGGCCGGTAGGAAGATATCAATTTGCGTCGGTAGAATATTCGTTGATAGATTTGTTAAAGCTTGGAATGCAACTGTACTCTCGAGATCAATTGTCGAGTCAAGTCGTTTCACCAAATATGGAATACTTTTTTGAAGAATTGTTCCGTTCTCATTGCTCACCGCCATATTCGCTATGCACTGTACTAGCATTATCTGAAATTTCAGCTCATTTCGTGTGCAGCTTGAAAACCACCATTGTGTGAATGATTTGAACATTATTGATGGATATTTTCACTGTTGGTTTCATTTATGATTTCATGACGATGTATTACGTGACTGTTATGCAGTAATACGATTGAGTATGAGAATCGAAAAATTTGCGCTGATTCGATTTGAGAAATAGTCTCTGAATGAAAGCTGAAACAAAAAATGGTGTATGATTCGATAATGAAAATTCTATATCCTCTGATAAAGAAAAAGCTTGATCAACTTTCGCATAAAGATCATCTCAGCTTTCGTGCCCTATGATGGAGTGAATAATGAAGAGTGTTTACTTTGCATGAGCTCGGCAGTGCAGCATGATTTTTGCTGAGCATTGTTGCAATACGTTCCGTGATACCGAATTGTGAAAATATACTCTGAAATATTGCAGTGTTCAGGATTTGTTTTCGATGCTATTCGAACACCAGTTATTGGGTGATGGAATGCATCGATAACTTTGAAATATTGGTACAATGCAATTTCTTAAAGTTAGCAATGCAAGAATGTAAGAAAAATTGACGAACTCAAAACTTGATTTTGATGATTGAACAAATGATTTTAAAAAAAAAGAGAATTTCTCCTCCTTACAATATTTCGAAATGAAGTCATTCATTTTGTGGTGTTGCCCTAATGCAGTTGAACAGATGAGTGACAAGTGCAGAGAAGGGAGTGAATGAAAAAAGAACTCAGCAATGAAACTAGCAGAATTGTCGCTTACGGAAATTGCTCGAGATGGAATTTTCGGTGATGAAAAGGGGTCGAAAAATGTTGAAGTTCGAAAAGTTGAAAAAAGCTGAGTTTTAAAAGGAAAATGGAAAACGAATGGAAAGCAATTTGATGAAAGGAATGACTTGATTGGCTGGAAATGCTGTGGCATTTGATATGACCGTAAGTAACGGCAGCAGTAGATCCGAGGTGGTATCAATACATTGTAGTGCCGTCGACAAATAACGAGCCTCTGAGGGCGATAGTAATTTCTGAAATTCCTGAATTTGAAATATTCAATAGTATTCCAGTTATTAACATGTAGTTCATGCGGCGGTGCAAGGCATCCGATTTTAAGTTGAATGAATGTAAAATTTTGATTGACAAAACTTGCAACCTGCAACATCTGTCTGCAAGATGTAGCTTGAACGGTTGTCTTTGAGAATCAGCAAAAAGGCCGAAAACCGTCACAATTTTTGATTTAAAAAAGCCGAGATTATTTCGGATTTCCTNATCTTTTGAATGTGAAAAGTCAAAATCACACCATTGAATTATTATTACTGAGCCATACATCAGCTGCTTTTGGGTGGTTTCGTAGGGTGAATGAGATTTTATGCCTGCGAGGTTGTCAAAAAAAATGATGACTTGTAAGCATAAACGTACAAATAACGTTAAGAATATCGATAAATTTGGTCAGAATACTGGTGTTAATGAGAGCAGCATTAATAATGGTTATAATACAAAATGACAAGACCTGATTGCGATAGAGACGATTTATGAGTGCTTTAAGCTGTTCGCTTGACGAGAGGAAGTTGGCTGACGGGTTAACGGTGATACGCCATTGCGATTTTACGGAATCTTCTTCATCTGGATCTTTCTGGGGGATGCGCTGAAATTGAGACGGTTAAGTACTGGTTAATTATGTTCACTTCATTGTTGGCATTTATTTTGATCATAGGTATTAATTTTTGATCAAGCATTTCGATCAAATGATTAATTTTTCATGGGTGTGTAAATAATGACTCTCACTGATCACAAACAAACCAGCAGACCAAGCGACATGGTATGAAGCATTTCTCTGAAATTCTCAAGATACTTGCTGTTAATGAACTTGCTTCCTTGCATTCTAATGATATACATTGATGCAGAACACAACATGCAAACACGAATTAAACTCGACTCTTCATAGTCTTTCGACGATCAGAATGTCTTTTGTTTTATGTCGCTAGTGATAAGTTCAAGCTTTTACAAAGCATTAAACTTTGAACGAAGACTACCGGTTAGAACAGTTTAAAGTTTTCGTGACTTTGTAGTTTATAACTGATGAAATGTTCATTGTTTCGCAAAAAGTTTCAACGCAAATCATTTCACATTATCGTTCAGCATTAAAAATTTTCACGATGATTTAGTTTTATCGCGTGATATAATGGTCGATTTAACGATCGACCGACCCATTTCGGGCCTGCTCGATGAAACAAAAACATGACTGACATCTGGAAGGAAACACTCTTTTGTGAACACATAAAATGGTTGCTCTAATGACCCATTGAGGATTCACTTGATAGTGAAATAAAGAATTGCTTGAAATGTTTGATGGATTTGTTCGTGGAGTTGTGATAGGATTCGTACGAAGAGGTCGTTAAGTTGTCGTTGAATTAACGCGAATGTTGTTGAATGATGATAAGATTGCGCAATAAAACCCATAAATTAAAAAAAATAAAACAATAAACTTAAAAAACCTGAAAGCTTCCGAGACGTGGTGAAGCGATTTCAACAACGAATGATGACTGCTGTTGTCCCATCGGACGCTATTGATTGCGGCTCCGTTAGCTGGATTTGGCCTAGTTTGTTTGACCGTTTTGTTGGTCCTCAGCACTTGTTGGTGATGCAGTTGCTGGTAGTTATTTAAACAAATAGAAATAGACAAATAGATAAATGCCTTATAGGCATCACTAGTCCAAGTCCTGCAGATAACACTGCGTACGCCTTATATACTATTGGCTGTCTACAGCTTACTCGAGAACTAATACTATATTAGCGAGCAGTTAATATAGACTGTTGAACCAAGCGTAGCCAGGACGACTTGACTAGCTGAATGCACTCATTCGCTTTCTTCGTTATTCATCCTTGATCACTCTCTTCATTCTCTCCATATATCCTTCCTTGTCTCGGGAATTTAGCTATGTATATCCACACTCTCTTGTTCTCTTGGCGAGAATATTCTCATTTTGCAACTGCCTTTATTCATCTCCGGCAAAATCATCCTCTGCCACGTCTAACATATGACAACCGATTCATCTTCAATCAGCACCCTCCCTCATTTCCTTAAATTTTCAACGACAGCATCTAATTTATTCAAATTCATATGCGTGCATGCATGTATATATACGCCAACGTTCGCATATTCATTCACTCTTAACAATGACGATGCATATCTATCTGCTCAAGATATTATATGGTGAACGTATGTATAGGACAGATGCTGAAAGCATCATTCGCGAATATCACATTATATCGCTCTGTATTCTCCCCTTCCTAAAGCCTATATTTCTTCAGAACCTTAATTCATGTGTTCATCAACAATATTATGCGGCTAATGTGACGTTTGTTCAGATGAATGTAGACGTGCACATTTAGTACATAACAACAATTGCCCGGAATGTATAATATTCGTACGTAGTGCTGACAATGAATTGGAACAATATATCTCCAAAAGCAATCTCAAATTGGTTTTCATTTGCTATATGGCTGAATTGACATTTAGTAGAGCGCTTATCATGTTTCACAGTCATTATGCATTTACGAAATGTGATGCGGATACTAGGGCAGGCTGGATGACTACTCACAAAATGCTTCACTCTTTCCACTCAGTATCCTTTTCCTTTATGAGAAAATGCTGACGTTCCGAAAGATTAAATTATTACACTAAAAAGCTTAAATTGCAGCTTCGTGAGTGGACGGTTGCATTTTAAAACTTCAGCTCTTGAATTGATAGTTTTATTCAGGGAGGTAATGATTTGCTTTCAATTGCAGTAAAATGCCGTCGCGGTTAATTCTTAGTTGTGAGTTTAAGTTTAATTTGCATCTTGTTGTTACCTTAAAGGAGTCGAAATTACAACGAGATCAGCAGTATTCTCAACTATGAAATCAGTCACTAATACTATAATATTCTTGTTTGCATGCGAAATCAGTGAACATGAGTGCACTGCAGTGAAATTTGGTCCCGGATTATTCCATAAAAAAGCACTCATTCATTTATCATTCGTTAATACTTTATGTGCCATTCTCGTCAATCACCTCCGCTATCAAAAAATCTTCTTCTAAGGATTATTATAAGCACCAGTCTTAAATAATCCACATTTTTGACATTCCTTCGCAGAAAATATCTCTGAATGGATGAATGCTTTCGTAACAATTTTTCCATATTTTTCTGTGAACATCGCATTGCATGTGCTCGTAATTTGGCTTTTTTCAAAGAATGAATGCACTCTTCGGATGAATTGAGATGAGACTGACAAATCAAGAAGGGGATCGAGCAACACCGACGACAACTCTTCAATGAAATATCGTATGCAGCTGAACTCACTGGCTGTATTGCTTCGCATATGATGTATCTGGCGTTGGAAACGAGTCATGTTTTTATTTGTTTGCAATCTCAAAAACTCGTTTAAAAGTTGGCTTACAATTGAGCCAAAAGATCAACGATGATTTAATAAAGGGTTGTATAGATTTGTGATCCATAAAGGATGTTCATTATTCAGTAGAATGTAATTCCTAAAATGTAATGGCCAAATGCTATGATCAGCAATTGCTTTGATGAATTTATTGAAGTTACTATTGGGAACGATGAATTCTTCGAAACAAACACAGAGATTATGTAGAAAAGGGGACTTATTAACGATAAGATTCTAGCTTGAAGGCATTGCAAGCCATTCAGTTTTTTCATACAACAACACAACAAAACACATTTATCGATTTGGTGTAATTTGGTAATTTCAAGTGGTCAAAAGAAACGAGAGCATTCATTCCGTCGAGAAAGGTTGTGATCGTCGTTGATTAAAAACACTTTTCTGTGTTACTTGAACATGTATACGATCACTTCGGAATATGGCTGTTATAATGAGAAATCAAGAAGCGAGTACTCCTTAACGATTTCGACCTTGCTATCACCAAGGGGATTGAAAACGAGTTTGCCAATTAAGATGGAGCTGATGGTCGATGATGAAAACTTTTAAAACAGTTCTTCAACATATGCTAGGTTCACCATACTCTAAAATCCCTACTCTGAAGCTTTCTCAACTGCATTTCTTAAATTCATTTGTTGAATGATCAATATGACGATTATGATTGCCAACACTATTACTTTCATCAATATCGACGTCAATATGTTGTTGCCGGTGCTTAAATAAGGAGACGACACTAGTACTTTTTCATGACATTTTATCAACGCACATTCTTTCATTTATAAGTTCATAACAAATACGATTGCAGCAGTTCTTTATAAGTTTATAACTCAATTCGAATAAATGTGTTAAAATTAGAAGGACGAAACTCTGAATTTTGTGGTGATTTATTTGAGTTTGTCGCAATTCGTCAAGCATTTTAATTTGATTAGTGATTGTTAACAATCGGTTCACGCGATGCACGTGGGGTTGGTTTCATTAAGGGTATGGCAGTTGCCGGAACGGTGGAACGATACTCGGCAACGAATCCTTTCCTCTCTTCAGAATCATCCGTGTTCAACACCAGCAACAGCTTACGACCGGTTGAGATGAATATCGGCGGTAACTTGAAAATTGAAACAAATTAGAAATTGCACTGTAATTTATGATGGAACTACTGCATTTTGGCAATGAATAATCAGTTATTAAAGTGAATTGTTGCTTGTTTGGAACAACCGGAGATCAATTGAGCTAGAAAAATGAGAAAGAAATGGAATTTTTGGTATACATGAAGTAGTTCTGGAATTTGAGTGGATTTGAGATATACTCTATGGAAATGTTACTAAATTATAAGAGTGCCTAGGGTGGATTTTGATTCATATTGTAAAATGTAGCGTCGTATCATCGAATCAGTAGTATGATATCTTCATTCAAATGCTCACTTGATCACCGCAAAAATGACCCATTTTATGTTCCTCAGTGCGTTCGTAACCATCAAATACTTCTATATAATCAAAGTCACAGTTTGATTCCTTCTCAAGATCGAACTGAGCAAATCGCAATTCAACACCGCGATTCACATCCGCCAATATGCGCCATTCACATCTGAAATTTATTTTCAAATAACCCAGCGATTGCCTTCAATGAGAGCACACTCAAATGTAGTTTAAAGTGAACACCGCTATCAGCTATCGTGTAAATTAACACACCAACCTCATCTTCTTCTCATATTTATTGTCGCTGTAACGAGCGTGTGAGTATATGAAGCCAATTGTATGCTCGGCTCTCAGCTCTCCTCCGCACACTTTAAATGATGAATGTGTGTAAGATTACGATGACATTCATTCATAATATGCACATTCTCAATGAATTTATCAAATATGAATGAACAACTTGAATGTCAGTGGGACAATTATGAATTCACTTATAATCAAATTCTGTTTGTGTGATATTTCGTTGCTGAAAAGTACCGAAACAAGCAGCAGAAAATTCCGATAGTGAATATGAAATTTGCACAGTTGAGAACCTCTGTGATATCCTGTCCAACTGATAGGATATTACTTTTGATATTACTTGTCAAGATATTACTTTTGAAAGTTTCTGAAAAGTGTCTATCACTTCAATCTCCCACTTTTTGTCTTTTGCATAACATTGTTGGCATAACGATGGAAAAAGAATCGGATGAATGAAGTAAGAATCAATCAATCACCAGATGAATAAAAAGCCTTGAAGCCACGTCTAGCAACAGATGCATCTGTGATCATCGTAATGAACAGTTGATTAGATGAGGATCTGATATCGGCAGGTAATCCGTTACCACAATAAATTCCCAGTGATGTCGCTTGCGGATCACCACCGTCAAACATTTCCACATAATCATATTTACACATATTATGCTCCTCCAGAGCGAATTCGTCAAATGACTGCAAAGCATATGTATCTTGATCACTGTTATGATCATTTCCATTGCTAGCCGTTCTGTTGATGCTATTACTGCTCCTATTATTGNAAAATGGGTCGGGGACGGGGACGGAGAGATCGGGGACGGGGAGAGTCCCCGAAGATGGCCGCCGCTGGAAGATGGTCGGGGACTCCCCGCACAACACTATATTTTTGTGATTCTTTTTATAATTACTTCTTATCATTGCCCCAATCACAGTCCCCTCTTAATAATACCGATTGCGCAAATGATCTTTACAGCTAACGTTACGGCAGGTTCGATCAGTATCAGAGCTCTCAACAAGTGTATCGTAGGTGTTATTGGATGAACGGATGAAAGAATATGAAAGTGATAAGACGACAATTAATGAAACAATGTTCCCTACAAATAAAAACTTGCAAGTAAAATACGATGTCCAGGTGTTGTAACAAGATGCCAAGTGCACAGTTTACTCTTCGGATAGTCGAACGGAAAGTTTGGAGATGTTATAACACCGTCAGGATCGTGCAACTGCAAATGACAGCCACCCTCCTTACAATTATGCCCGTCATCTGAGAGAATGTAACCACTCTCACATTCGCAACGATACGATCCTGTTAATTGAGAACATTATTGTTGGTGTCGAGGACATTAGTTGGTATTACTGATAAATTCGTTCCGTTCACTTATTCATTATTGTCTTTCCAGGTATTCAACGCATCAGTTTATGACGACTTCAAATGTGGCTTACTATTGGTATTTAAGCTAGTGATATTGTAGATTATGTGAAAGAGGCAGGATAAATGTGCAAATATATGAACATTAACACAGGATCAACAAAAAGATCAAGCGAAGTAAATTAATTGCGTGCATGGATATATGATAAACTTGAATGCATGAAAGACTTAATGCGAGGATGCGTTA